ATCGATTTGGCGCCCCAGTGTTCTCACACGCGGGACAGGGGGTGTGAAGCTGTAGGAGGAGTGAGTAGGGACGGACTCAGACCGCAGGTGCAGAGGGGGAGCCCTTGTCGTCTCCCGAGGCTTTTCCACGTGGCTCTGGTGGCCCGTGGTCACAGAAGAAGAGGAACAGCGGGTGGTGGAACTGCCTTCTGAGACAAAGCCAGGCGTGGGCTCTGGTGGCTTCTCAGGTGCAGTTGTGCCCCATACCTACAGAGAAAAGAACTGGTTAGACACAAGCTTTCCCCCTCCTGTTCTGCAGCTAAAATCACAGATGCTTATATGGATTATCAGTGTAGTTTAAGTTCTGGTCTGCTCTGGAGAGCTAATGTGCTTCTGGGAAAGAGGAGATGTGGAAGTTTCCTCCCTCAGCAAAAGCAAGGGGCTGGTGGTGCCTCTAGGAGGTGTTGGGACCCATCACAAATGGCAATCTAGGGCAAGGGGAGGAGCTGTCTGTCTATAGCAACAGGTTAAAACTTTTACACAGTGTTTTGCTTACGAATATACTTATTCAAATGAAAATGCACCTGGATTTAAACTTCTCACGCCCTAGTGAGCAGATCAAGTGGTGTAATACAGCAGAAACCCCTTCCTTCAATGTGGCTATGGTGTTTAAGACAGGCTGCAACAGTTTGGATTTCTGAGTGGATGTCTAACTCTCATGCAAGGAATCTGAGGGTATTGTCAGCCTCAGTGAAGAATCCTACAATCCCAGGCTAGAAGGGACTTTAAGGATCATCTGGCCCAACCTTTCTAGGCAAAGCATGACCTAGACTAGATGTCCCAGCATCCTTATCTTGGGAGTGTCCAGTGTTGGGGAACCTGCCACAAGAGAGGATGCAGAAGTTCTTCCTTGTTTCCGAGCACTTCTAAACTAGTATTCCCTGTACTAGTTACCCCAGCAGATACCTTTTTATTTCCTTAAAACCAAGGGGAACAGTTCAGGTTGGATATAAGGAAGAAGTTCTTCCCTGTAAGGGTGGTGAGGCCCTGGCACAGGTTGCCCAGAGAAGAGGTAAATGCTCCATCCCTGGCAGTGTTCAAGGCTAGGTTGTACAGAGCGACACGGCTTAGTGTGAGGTGTCCCTGCCTGTGGCAGGGGGTTGGAACTGGATGAGATTTAAGGTCCTTTCCAACCCAAACCATTCTATGATTCTATATTGGGGTGTTCCCTGAGGAAATCCTGTGCTGCTTCCCTCTGAGGCTGGCTCTGGTGGAACCCTCAGTATCCTGTGACTCCCCTGCCTCACGCCATTTGGACTGGGACTCTCC